GAGGTCAAGAGATCGACACCATCTGGCCAATATGGTGAAACCCCATCTCTACTAAAAATACAAAAATTAGCCGGGCGTGGTGACAGGCACCTGTAATCCCAGCTACTCAGGAGGCTGAGGCAGGGGAATCCCTTGAACCCGGGAGGCGGAGGTTGCAGTGAGCCGAGATCACACCACTGCACTCCAGCCTGGTGACAGAGCGAGACTCTGTCTCAAAAAAAAAAAAAAAAAAAGAAAGTTGAACAGATCATTTTAACCTTGTTTTGTTTGCTCCATCTCTTGGGGATTCTAGGGTCTCTTGGGATGGTATATGGTGAAAAGCGGACTAGAGGAAAAACCAGACTCCCATGACATCCCTCGGGTCAGTCAGTACCGCCTCGCTGCCCACCTGGGATCAGCCCTGGTTCTTTATTGTGCCAGCTTATGGACCTCGCTCTCACTGCTGCTCCCTCCGCACAAGGTAAGAGTTGTGTGCAAATATGTCTTCAAGACCCTGCTTTCAATTCTTTTGGATATATATCTAGAAGTAGAATTGCTGAATCATATAGGAGGTGAATATTTTGCCAACATTTTCTATTGGGAAAGGTGAAACAAATTGAAAAATAGATTGGGAGGGAGTACCAACAACAAGAAATATCCCAGTCACTTTACATCTGACGCCCAGAGGGGATGGTGGATGGCAAAGTGAGGAAGATCAGAACAGAGGTGTTTCTGAACTTCTGGTGTGGACAAGAGCCATATTGTATTGTTTGTTAAATGGGGACCTGCCAGTTAAGTCTAATAATATAGTAAACCTTAGTGATTTGGTCTGAAGTATTTTTCTGTTTGCTGATTAAAGGAAAATACTAGCTTTTCGTTTCATGCTTTGATTTCAAAGCAAGGTATGACATATTTTTGAGACCTTCATTAATAATAGAGGTCTCAAGACACCACACCCTTATAGGACATTTTTTTTCCCTAGAATTTTTTTTTAGATGAGTCTTGGCCAGGCGCAGTGGCTCCCGCCTGTAATCCCAGCACTTTGGGAGGCAGAAGCAGGCATATCACCTGAGGTCAGGAGTTTGAGACCAGCCTGACCAACATGGAGAAACCCATCGCTACTAAAAATACAAAATTAGCCAGGTGTGGTGGCGCATGCCTGTAATTCCAGCTACTTGAGAGGCTGAGGCAGGAGAATTGCTTGAATCCAGGAGGCAGAGGTTGCGGTGAGCCAAGATGGTGCCATTGCACTCTAGCCTGGGCAACAAGAGCGAAACTCCATCTCAAAAAAAAAAAAAAGAGTCTTATATTAGGTATTGAAATCATGGGTTGACCTGAGTAAGCTGTTCCTGGAGAAAAGTTTGAGATGACAGCAGGACTCTTGAGTCGAATCATCCGTTAGGTACTTGGAGCCAGTAGCTAAATTCCAGTAAGGACCGGACATGTTGTCTTGGCAGTCATTCCCACAGAGAAGCCAAATTGGGTTGAAATATTGATATAGTAGACAACCACTGAGTAATTCCACATCTGAAACATAAGGAATTATTTGAAAGTCTCCTGACTTTCAAAGCCAAACTTCTTTTATTTATTTATATGAGATGGAGTCTTGCTGGGTTGCCCAGGCTGGAGTGCAGTGGTGTGACCTCGGCTCCTGCAACCTCCACCTCCCGGGGTTCAAGCAATTCTCCTGCCTCAGCCTCCTGAGTAACTGGGACTACAGGTGCACACCACCATGCCTGGCTAATTTTTTTGTATTTTTAGTAGAGACGGGGTTTTGCCGTGTTGGCTGGGCTGCTTTTGAACTCCTGACCTCAGGTGATCCACCCGCCTTAGCCTCCCAAAGTGCTGGGATTACAGGTGTGAGCCACCGTGCCCATCAAAGCCAAACTTCTAAAATGAATTCATTTTAATTCAAACTTCTAAAATGAATTCATTTTAATTCAAACTTCTAAAATGAATTCATTTTAATGGATTCATTTTGCCTGCATCTATAGCTGTTGCTTCCTGACAATCTATTCCTTCTTTTCAATCCCTGTAATTATCTTCCTCACCCAACCCAATACATACACACTTTCACATTTACCCACACTTACACATAAACCCACACACTCTTGCTGCTGAAATTGTACTCTTAAAGATTACTGAAGACTTTATCAATTAATTGTTTTTCTCTGTTTGTTTAGATTCACCTAATTACAAAAAGGATTTGAGATGCTAGCCAATGAACCATATAGTGCTATGCTGTCGAACACAGTAGCTACTAACTACATATGGCTATTTAAATTTTAATTAATTAAGGCTGGGCACGGTGGCTCACGCCTGTAATCCCAGCACTTTGGGAGGCTGAGGTGGGTGGATCATTTGAGGTCAGGAGTTCGAGACCAGCCTGGCCAACATGGTGAAACCCCGTCTCTACTAAAAGTTAAAAAATTAGCTGGGCAACAGTGGCACGCGCCTGTAATCCCAGTTACTTGGGAGGCTGAGGCAGGCGAATCACTTGAGCCTGGGAGGTGGAAGTTGCAGTGAGCCAAGATTGCACCACTGCACCCCAGTCTGAGCGACAAAGTGAGAAAAAAAATTTTTAATTAAATAAAATTAACTTTATTTACATAAGCTTTTTGTTTACTTAAACTTTATACTTAAATAAAGTTAATTTTTAATTTAATTTTCAGTCATACTAGCCATGTTTCAAGCTCTTCTTAGGTAGATGATAGAACTTTTCCATCATCACAGAAAGTTCTATTGGACAGTGCTGATAATATGATATGTTAGTAATGATACCTAACTTTTCATATAGAGTGTAAGCCATTTGAGGGTAGCATTCTGACATAACTCCTTTGTATCTTTATAGTAACCTGTTTATAAAGTTCTTACTCATATTTGATGATTCACTGATTAGTATTAGAAGTTGGTGGTAAGAATAAAAACATTTTATCAAAAACACTAAATGCAGGAATCTCTAAGCATTTTATGCAATTTCGATTCTGACTGTATTTGCTAAGCACTAATATCACACACATGAAAATCCAGTCCTGATCTTAAGCTACATCCTTTCAACCATGATGAAGCATTGCTTCCTGAATAACGTAAATCATTCAGATTTTGAACAGATACGTAATGAGTACCTATGTGCCAATCACTAGGCTAAGATTGCTGTAGTAAAAAAGATGGCAGTTCCTGCCTTCACAAAACTTGTGGGGTAGAAGTATAATTACAATAAAATACAGTACATGTTGGAACAGAGTATCTGCCAGAAGTACTTAACTTAGTCTAGGGGTCAGAGAAGCTCCGATCTTAATTTGTCACTTGGGTTTGGCCTTGGAGATCTTTGGTGCCTCTCATTGTTCCTGAAACAGTTTAACTGAATGATGTTTTTTCTTGTTTAGTTGCCTGAAACCCGTGCACTCTTATGGTTGAGACGATTTGCTCATGGAACAGCAGGTCTGGTGTTCCTTACGGCTCTCTCAGGTAGGACTCAGCTTATCAAAGATGACCTGTTTGCATCGCACTCTAAGCTGGGACCTCTTGCCTAACACTTTGCCTTGTCCTCCTGCATCTTTATATTTCCTTTTCACATCTGTTTCTCTCATTCCCACTATCTTCACCCACTGTTTCCTGTTCCTTTCTCTCTTCCAAAAATTCTATTTTACTGTCAATTGAACAAAAATATTGAACATCTACCTAGATCCAGATGGCTTAGGTTCAAATCCTGGCTTCACTACCTGTGAACTGTATGACCTTTGCAAGCTCTGTAACCTCTCTGGGCCTTAGAGACCTTATGTGTAAAATGGAGATTATGACAACAGTATGACTGCTAAATGTGAAATGTGTAGAGTAGTTGTTAGCATGCAGCAAAGGCTACATAAGTGTTAGCTGTTACTATTATATAAACATTATTGTTATCATCACATTACATCAAGATGGGTCAGACAAAAGGCTTGCCCTCAGAGATGGTTGCAGGTGGAGAGTTCATTGGCACAGAGACACCAACACAGGATTTTTTCATTCTTTTTTTTGAGACCGAGTCTCACTCTGTTGCCCAGGCTGGAGTGCAGTGGCGTGATCTCAGCTCACTGCAACCTCTGCCTCCCGAGTCCAAGCAATTCTCGTGCCTCAGCCTCCCAAGTAGCTGGGATTACAGGTGCACGACACCACGCACAGCTAATTTTTGTACTTTCAGTAGAGAGGGGGTTTCACCATGTTGGCCAGGCTGGCCTCCAACTTCTGACCTGAGGTGATCCACCCGCCTTAGCCTCCCAAAGTGCTGGGATTACAGGCATGAGCTACCACGCCTGGCTTTTTTCATTCTTTAAACCACACTTCCACCTCTGCTGCTCTCATTTGAGAACTGCACTATCCAGTAGAGGAGTCCGTAGCCTCATGTGGATATTGAAACTTAAATTAATTAAGGTTAAATAAAATTTAAAATGTAGTTCTTCATTCACACTAGCAACATTTCAGATGCTCCATAGGCACATGTGGCTAGGGGCTAGTGTATTGGACGGCGCAAATATAGAACACTTCCACTCTCACAGAAAGTTCTATTGATAGCACTGCTCTGGAATAAAAATAATACTGATTCAAACCAATGAGCCACTCAGCACTTTTATTTTTGGCAAAGAGCATGAATTTTTACTTCATAAGGGACGTTTTAAAAAAATATGGAGTGGGTTGGGCATGGTAGCTCACACCTGTAATTCCAGCACTTTGGGATGCTGAGGCAGGTGGATTGCTTGAGCCAGGGAGTTCAAGACCAGCCTGGGGAACATGGTAAAACCTCATCTCTACAAAAAATACAAAAATTAGCCATGTGTGGTGTTGTGTGCCTGTAGTCTCAGCTACTAAGGGGGCTGAAGCCGGAGGATTGCTTGAGCCCAGGAGGTCGAGGCTGCAGTGAGCTGAGATTGCACTGCTGCACTCCAGCCTGGGTGACAGAGCAAGGCCCTGACTCAAAAAAAAGAAAAAAAGGCTCATGCATGTAATCCCAGCACTTTGGGAGGCTGAGGCAGGTAGATCACCTGAGGTTGGGAGCTTGAGACCAGGCTGGTCAACATGGTGAAACGTCGTCTCTACCAAAGGGCGGGCACCTATAGTCCCAGCTACGCGGGAGGCTGAGGCAGGAGAATCACATGAACCCTGGTGGCAGAGATTGCAGTGAGCCGAGATTGTGCCACTGCACTCCAGCCTGGGGGACAGAGCCAGACTCCGTCTCAAAAAAAAAAAAAAGAAAGAGAAAAGGGAGTGTGACCCAAACATTTCTGGATTTTCTTTGATAATAAATAATAGATCAGACATCCATTAATTCATGAATACCCTCTTTATGTGTTTATCCAGGATTTAGTTTATAAGTTTTGGGATTTTTCTCACTTCCGTGTTCAGTCAACAAACATTTATTGAGCATTTGGGGAAGACAGATAATGCACAATGGAAACATAATGTGTTTGATGATATTTAGTGCCATGAAGAAAAATAAATTAGGGTCAGGAGACAGAAAGTGTGCTAGGGGAGTACCATTTTATATAGGATCATCAAGCGAAATCTCTTTGGTAAGGTGACATCTGAGTGGAAGCTGGGGAAGTAAGGGAGCCAGTCATGCAGACATCTGTGGGAGAGCATTTCTAAAATAAATCAGTAGCACTCAGTGGCGGGGTCAAGAGGGCATCAAAATCACTAAGGGAATTTTTCTAAGCTAGTAAGCCTCTCCCCCTCCCCCCACACCGCAGCCTCTACTGCACTTCTCTAGAGGAAGCAGAATCTTAGGGTGGGAGCAGGTAAGGATGCAGAGATTTGAAGTTTCCATGGTAATTGTGATGTGTCTTCCCTGTTGGAGAACCTCTGTTGTAGATCTTTCTATTGTTCTCTGACTGTTCCCTTAGTTTAACTCAGGGATAACAGACTTTTTCTATGTCAGAACTAGTATTTGGTCTCTTCTTCTTCTCATTTTAATAAATACCATTTACCTTGGAATACAGGGGCTTTTGTGGCAGGGCTAGATGCTGGGCTTGTTTACAACTCCTTTCCCAAAATGGGGGAATCCTGGATCCCAGAGGACCTCTTTACCTTCTCCCCCATCCTGAGGAATGTTTTTGAGAATCCCACCACGGTGCAGTTTGATCACCGGATTCTGGTAAGTGTAGCTGGTGGGTACCTGCCAGAGAGCACAGGAGCCTATCATAGGCTTTGGGGTGTCAGTGAAGCACTGATGGCAACACTGACAGAGTAGAGCAGGAACTATACTTTCTGCTCTCTTTGGAGAAATTTTAGGACCATTTCTCTAATCTAATGTCTTTGTCCTCATTACTCACCCCTGTCCCCCCAACCCCCTACCCCAGCCAAATTCTAGCTTTCAGGACATTGCCAGCTTCTTAAAGTTCGAATGTGCCTTTTACCACTTGGCAAGTGATAACCTCCCTCAATCCTGCACCTACCTAGAAAGTCATTTCAGCAGAAATGTGGTTGAGTAGAGAAGAGAATGCAGAGACCATAGTTGCTAAGCACATAGCTCTCGGAGCTAAACCAGAAGCTCAAGGAGCCAGGAGCTTCACTAGTTACTTTTCATTCTGTTTAAGCTAATATGTTTTGAGGTTCTGCTATGGGCCATTTAAAGATTAGCTTGGAGGCCTGTGTGTGATGAATTGGAGCGGGGAAAGATGAGCAGTAAGGAGACTGTGAGAAGCATAGTGCTGCTGTGCGATGCCAGGGAGAGCGCGCTGGAGATGGGGCCTACATGGTAGGAGTGGGACTTGAGAAGAATGATGCATTTGAGAGAGAATTTAAAGGAACAGAGGCTGGGCACAGTGGCTCACACCTATAATCCTAGCACTTTGGGGGGCTGAGGCGAGAGGATTGCTTGAGCCCAGGAGTTTGAGACTGCAGCGAGCTGTGATCACGTTACTGCACTCTAGCCTGGGAGACAGAGTGAGAGCCTGTCTCTTAAACAATTAAATTTAATTTAAAAATAAGAGCAGTGGGCACAGTGGCTCATGCCTGTAATCCCAGCCCTTTGGGAGGCTAAGGCAAGAGGATTGCTTGAGCCCAAGAGTTCAAGACCAGCCTGGGCAACACAGGGAGACCTCATCTCTACAATAAATAAATAAATAAAGGAAGAGAGTTAATAA